ATACGTATTTCTTGTCGTCGGCTGTGTTGATACTCGTTTATTCTTCTTTTTTTAGGTTCTTGCCTGATTATTTTTTAGGATGGATTTTCCCATTCCTTTCCCGAGCTTTTGATTTTCCCGGGAAACCGTGCTCCTTGTTTGGAACGCATTCGGACGTACTGAAAGAGCGTGGGTCGCACTGAAACTGTTAAGAAAAAAATAATGTACTGAATCAGCTGATGAGATCATGCTTAATTAATTCAACTCCTCGACGCTTCGACAAGACACTGCTAGACCTACCACGCCAAAAAAGGAGGTGGTTATCACCCATCCTTTTCCATCGTGATCGACTATTTTTGAAATCGACTGGATCCTATTTGATACTGCATTCGATACCCCCGAAATTCATCTTCGGGAGTAAATGGATAATTAAAATGCCAGGATAACTGGGCGTTGGCTGTGGGGATGTCCTATTTGCTTACTCTTCTTCTGCTTTCTCCTTCTTTCTCTTCTTCTTTTCCTCCTCTTCATCTTATCCTCTTCATTTCTATCATTCCTCTTTCCCATTTCTGGGTCATTTTTATTAGTTTTTCTTCTCCTTTCCTCGTTTATGTTCTTCTTTCTCTTCTTTCTTATTTCTGTTTCCTCTTCTTTCTCTTTTGTCTTATTTCTGTTTTCTTTTTCTCTTTGTTTTTCTTCTTTCTCTATTCTTCTTCTATATCTTTTCTTCCTCTCTCTGTTTTCTTCTTCCTTTTCTTCTCTCCCTCTTTCTGTTTTCTTCTTCTGTCTCCTTCATTCTCTTTTCTTCTTCCTTCTCTTTATCTTTCCCTCCTCTTCTTCCTCTCTTTCTTCTTCTCCTTTTTGCTGTTCATTGAGACTGAACCATTAGTCACCACAGAAGTAACATTGTAGTTATGACTGGAAAAGTATCGTAGGTTGACCCTAAAATCCACGCAAACGAGCATCACAGGAACACCGTTTATCTTTTTCTTCGCGCAGAAGTTGTCAAGGGGGATAAAGTGAAATAATTTCACTTAAGTGGCGCCCTACTTGCAATTAGTCGGCTATTTTCCCTGTGTGCAACAAATTCATCATATGGAAGAGCAGTGGTGATATCCTGTGCTCCGGGAAATTTTCCGTAGGTCTAATCGGTTAAATCGTAAAATTCGAGATCACGCAAGTCCTCCATCGAGCAGCCGAAGAGATCGTGGCATGCCGCACAGCGGGTCGAGTCAATAGGAGAAGTCGGACAAAATTTGGAAACTTTGAAAGCTTATATTTTTGAAAATATGAAACAGCAAAGTTCAAGAGTAGTTCCATTGGTTTCTTCGTGAAATTTACTTTCAGAAACACCCTTTGAAATTGAATCTGTGACGAGACAAACATAAAAATTTGAAATTTTAGTCAACAATTTCATGTCCGACCTCTTGTATTAGTTCGTTCCACTGTGCGCCGCGACAGTGTCGGTGACCGACCGCAACCNGGGGGGGGGGGGGGGGGGGCAGACCGTGGTGGTACACTGTACTGGTACAGCCCGACTTAACAACCGGGTCGGGGGCTCAAGTCGTTCAGTTTCATGGTAAACTTGACCTTCACTCCTCTCGCATTCCCGCGTGGAATTTTTTCCAGGCCGAAATTCGGGGGTCTAGTGACCACGTGGGGTCGTGGGCCCCGTGGGCCCACGCATTCGGAACCGCGGGCCCGCTGATTCCGCGCTTTCCTTCCGTGCTCAGGAATTCGGTGCCAGTGGCGTGCTTTTCGGTATATCGATTGATCTGACTTTTAAACCTATGGAAACGGATGGATTATCAGGTTGTTTGCAGCGAACACCTTAATGATCGATTCTTTACCATAGCTTCAAATGGGGAATCGATAATCGATCCTTCACGCCTCGTCATTGAGCGGTGCATGAACTTCTGGACCTTGGACATATGGATATTTTTGTTGAATTTCCAGTGGATTTAGGCAAAGATTTTAGCAGAGGCAGACTTCTAGAGGCAATTTAGTCGGAAGATTTCAAGGGAAATTATCGACGGCGTAAGTTCGCAATCGCATATCTCGTTTTTTTTAAAGGAGAACAAATTGACATCATTCCTCGAAGTTTTTGCAGAATTTTCTTCACACAGGGAAGGATAATTACAGCAATTTTAAAGAATTGCCGTTAAGTAGTTTGCTGTTTAAAAAATAAAGTATGTCGGGAAGTCTACGACGTCGCAAAGCAAGTTATGTGCTTGTCGACTTACACCGTCGATAAACCGAAACTTTCTAAAAAAAGAAAAGGAAAAAAGAAAAGAGTGTTTTGTCCAGGGAAAGGCTATTTTTGAATTTTCAAACCTCTACATTTTGCCTTGCAGTTTAAATACTTTGAATGTACACTAAAACCAAACGAACCAAAGTTATTGTTACAAGAATACACATTTCAAGACAAGCGGTTTCAGTCTAGAGTGCATGGGTTTAGGTTAGCCGGAAGGGAAAAAATGTTTTACATGTAATTGATCAGATCTCCTGGTTAAAGGATTCCATAAATCAAATGATCGAGAAAAGCCCTTCAATCAATTTCCAGGAAAGCTCTAATCAAGGTGAAGTACCCACATCCTCTCTTGTCCCACTATCCCACCTCACGAGCGGCTAATGAGCGTTCCCTGCCAAGAAAAACAATCCACATCTTAAAGTGCTGTTTCTGAAGCTGACACTTAGGTTTATTGCCATTATCTCGGACCAATTATTGGAATGTGGGGCGTTTATTTACGAATGCGAACAAATAAGTATGCCGTAACCAATTTGTCCGTCGAGACGCCGTGCAAATTGTAGCGATCGCAGAAATATTGACGGGGAGTGGCCAAGGGATTATGATAAGACCCGCTTCCTTTATGTGTCTCAATTGGAAAGTCATTGAGTATTGTTGTCCGATATGAGGAAAATAATTACAAGATTTCCTCACCCGGTATAAAGAAAATCTCGGTCGTGTATGGGTTTGGTTTCCTCATCTAGTGCACTAAATTTTGCAATGAAGCCACTATTCTGCCGTGCTAAGGAGGAACGCCGTATGAACATCCGAGGGTTGCCAGATTCCCCTTGATAAAACATGTATTTTTTAATAAAATCGTGCACATTTTTTATTTTTCTTTTTTTTATTGAAATTTTCAGATATTTTAGATTAAATTGCGTACAAAATTGTCTAAAACTTTTGGAAGAAAATATTCACAATTTTCTCAGTAAATTCGGTTTTCATGTAAGGAAACTTGGCAACGTCTGAAAGCTCATACGGCGTTATTCCTTAGCACAGCACCATTCCTGCCTCTGCGTGAAAGAAAATTTAGGGAGAGCTTAATTGAGGGGCTTGCAGGACAAGGCGCTTAGGTGCAGTTTTTGCTATTTCGAGAAAAACGTGTTTAAAATTTCGAAATTGCATGGATTCGTATGGCGGAAAGAAAGTTCAAACTGACTTTTTGATGCTTACGAATTGGAATTTGGGAGCGAATTTTCCGAAGAATGTGCATCAAGACTAGTTTTACTTGTAATCATTAAGATCTCAATTTTTTCCAAACTGCAGTTATGCGCCTTGTCCTCCAAGCTCCTCAATTATCTTTAAGAAAGAGAATGTTTTCAAAGCTTCCTTCCCCATTCCCTTTTAGAAAAGCACCTCGTCGAAAAATTAACCATCCGAGTTTTTCTGTCACCGCAGCAAGTGCGTCAACATACCAGACGTCGCCTTTTTCACCTTTGACGCTCATCGTTCCACGCTCTTTACTCCCGTTTTCCCGGATAGTCCTGAGGTCAAATATAAAAGATGACGTCCATGTTAAATAAATGACGCAGTGAAAATCTTTGTACGCTTACATTGTTTCAATCATGATGATGAAAAACGGCAGACTCAAATGACTAGTGACTCTGAGCTTTTTCTTTAAAATTGATTTTCCCCCGAACATTTTCCTCCTTCTTTTCCGTGTTTTCTCTATGCTAGCCAGTGGCGTGGCATGTTTTGCGATGTATTGATTGAGCTGCCACTTAAACCTATGGAAAATGATCGATAACTGGATGTTCGCAACGATCATTTTAATAATTGATTCTTTATCATAGCTTCAAATATGGTGTATCAATAATCGATCATTCACGCCTCGCCACTGATCCCTACAAGCAATGATCTATGTCGATTCATCCATCTCTATGTAAATATTGACGTCATTGAAGTAAAGCATTTATATCTATTATTTTTCTTAATCCTTCTCCAATTGCACGTATAGTTGCTCCTTAGACGATTGAACGTAACTGCATTTCAACGTTGCAAAGTGCCCACTTGATTGCTTTAGTCAGTTTTGCGACTCTTGGAATGAAGTTTCACTCCTTCTTTGAGAAACGACGATATGACTCACGAAATAACATTTGAGGGGCTTGGAGGACCAGGCGCATGAGTACAGTTGTTAAAAAAATTGAGATATTACTTTTCCAAGTAAAACCAGTCTTAATGCATAGTCCGTCGGAAATTCGCTCCAAACTTCCAATTTTTAAGCATCAACAAGTCAGTTTGAACTTTCTTTCCGCCACAAGGATCAATGTAATTTCAAAACTTCAAACCTGTATTTCTCGAAGTAATAACAAAAACTGCTCTTATGCGCCTTGTCTTCCAAACACGGATCTAGAGTCCAGACTCTCGAAAACATTGACAAGAAAAAATACTCTTGATTCAATCAGATTTTTGCGTAAATCAAAAGGAAATCCGCTCAAATTTAGAGGCTTGGTTCTTGATTTAAGCAAAAATCCGATTGAATCAAGAGTATTTTTTCTTGTCAATGTTTTCAAGAGTCTGGACTCTTGATCCAATGTTTTTTTTTCCAGTGTGAGTGTTTCTTCTATTCTACAGGTGGTCCCTCGTAATTCTGAACGTCATAGAAGTCAAGCTTATTTCATCTTGTATCATTTTTATTTTTTCCCACCCTGATGAGCACCTTGTATTTCGGACCCGAAAACAAAGCGTGACGTCACGACATCTCTAACGCTTGACCCGTTAACCTCTGTTGCAGGCGCTGCAGCTGCCGCGGAGCACGGACCGAACCCGACGACGACGGCTCCCCTCCACCTCGACGCGGCGAGACGCTATCTCGGCCGCGTGAGCGCCACCGCCGCCGAGCCTCAGTGAGCACCGAACCGCCGAGCGAGCGACACGAGTCACCGCCAGTGCCGCGATCCTAACCTCCCCGCGACGCGGCGCCATCATGGAATATCGCACACCGACCTTCCTCCGATTCCCGACCCGCGTCCGACGACGGTCTGTGAAAAATTCTAGAAAACCTTTCAAACTCGGCAGCGACCCCTGTTGTGCGTGAACCACGCCGTGTGATATCCTTTAATTTATTTCAATTTCAACCCCCCCTTGTGTTATTTATTCTGTGTTCCCCCTCCCCCAAGTGCCTGGTGTCTAGTTCGTCGTTACCTGCCGTGGGAATCAAAACCCCATAACGGAATCTCTGTCTGTGGATAAGTGATTTTTCGATTTATATATATAGTCGGATATATATATAGATAAGAGTGATTTTTGATTTGTATATATAGCGGGATATATATAGATAAGAGTGATTTTTGATTTATATATATAGATAAGAGTGATTTGGATCAGTGCGGGAGTGCCAAGTTTCGAACCGTGGATCCGCGGAGTGCTCGGTCCGCCATGACGGCGGACCTCGCGCGAGAGGCGATGGGCAAGAAGGACTACGCGCAGGCGGCGCGGATGTTCAAGCGGTGCCTCGCCGAGCGCCCGTCCCTGGAGATGTTCCTTGGCTACGCGGACGCGCTGGCCAAGTGCGGGCGCGTTTGGGAGTCCCTGGACGTGTTCGCGCAGTGCGCCGCCTTCGCCCCGCTGTCCCCGGAGAAGCTGCGAGGGGTGACGACGGCGTTTCTGGAGCACCTGAGCGCCCGGGCGGCGGCGGCCGCCGCCGCCGACCCCGGACGGGCGCGCGAGGCCCCGGAGCCGTGCGCCTTCGTCTGCGGCCTCTGCGACAACGTGCTCCTGCAGCCGGTGACGCTGGCCTGCGGGCACACCTTCTGCCGCAAGTGCCTCCAGCGGGAGCCGACCAAGGCGTGCCGCCGCTGCGGGCACAAGATCGCCCAGCGGCTCGAGATCAACGTCCTCATCCGGAGCCTCGTCGAGAAGTTCTGGGCGGAGGACATCGCCGCCGCCCGGCTCCGGGACGAGGGCAACCAGCTCTTCGGCTCCAACCAGGTGGAGGCCGCCCTCAGCAAGTACGACGCCGCCATCGCTTTCGGTGAGTCCGCCCCCGTTCTCTTCCTCCAGGAGCATGGCCAATCCACACGGTTCATAATCGGTCGATCCCGTGGACAAATGTCTAAACCCTAGCGCCAAAGGCGGACATTGGCGGATCCAGCTAATTGGCAACACTGTCTTTTCTCCTTTTAAACCTATAGAAATGTATCGATCCTTGGAGGGGACAGGTGCTCCGACAAGACTCGATTATTTAGCATAGGTTTAAATGGAGGAAATCCGGTGTTGCTAAATTGCTGGATCCGCCTCTGAAGGCGGATCCAGACACTTCCAAAAGAGGGAGTCAGTAGAGGGATCTGGGGGCGGGATTCCCTCGGAAATTTTTTGAAATTTCATAGCATCCAATACGCAGTTTTAGTTAATTTCGTTATTAACAATTACCAATTGTTCTTCCTTTCTGTTTCCTTTGTTCCCTGTCTCGGCAACCCGTGGGGGGGGGGTGTTGGGTATGCCCCTTACCCCCTCCCCTCCCCCTTAGATCTGCCGACGCTACCGCACATTGTCGGAGGGAAGTTGAATTCTGATGAGCCTCTCATGGGAGAAGTTGATGCTACGCTACGTCACATGCCACGGTCGAGGTTTGGCCGAGTGGGGGAGTGAACTCATAAATTATACGCAGTAATAACTGACCCGTGTGGATTGGCCCTGTCCAGGAGCGTAATTTCAGCCAAATTTTACGTGAACTACAGTTTTTTTTCGAAAAGCATATTATGAGCCCTTTATTGGACCCAAATCGACCATAATTGCCTCAAATAAGGGTCTAATTTTAAATTCAAGGAGTGAGCATATGTCTCCTTCGCTTCTCTCCAAATGACGCCGGGCCTTTCATGGGTCCGAATTCGATAAACCTGGGGGCGAAAATTGGCGGGCTAAGAGGGGACGGAGGTATAGGGGGAGGAAAACTCAGACTTTCAGCAGGATTCAACAAAACTTCGGGGAAAAATAAAAGGAAATTCTAAGCGGCAAGCATTTTAAAATAATAGTCATCCGTCAGAGCTATCTAACTATTACAGCCAACGTTGGAAGCTCTCAATCAATGAACAAAAGTAAAAAAAAACGCGAATCAAAAAATTTTGGAAGGTGGAATATCCGCACCGCAGCGGCTGGAACCGGTTGTAGCTATTATGCCTGACGTCTACTTTTTTCTTGGCATGCCTGTATTTTTATCGAGCTTTTTCCCGAACCAATGTCCAGACAGCGGACGGGGTCGACTTCCCTGAGGCCAAATACGCACGCCACACTGCACCGGGACCTCGAGCGTAAAATGACGCAATATCAGACCGAGCTTAAAAATATACCAGGCTAAATTCCAGAGACTCTAAAATTCTGTCATCTTGTTACATCTATTACGACCAGGGATCCCTGATACTCGGCTCAGCTCTCGACAGTCCCTCTGAAGCCGCTCTGTCGAATAATGAATAATTAGGTAATTAATCAATTAATTAAATAATTAAATTATAACAATAATAATTAATAATATAAATTGTTACCCAAATAGATGAAGCTATCAGGCTCTGTTGCAAACTTTTATTTCTATTGATCTTAGTGACAATATACTTAAAGACCCCGCACAAATTATCTAAGCAGTACAATCGAGTAAACCAGAAGAGGTCAAATTCGGAGGTTAACGTTATTTTCCGCCTAATGGTTGTTCATGAGCAGCTTGTTGAGCAAAAATTCCAAAAAAAATTTGTCTAATGATGACCGGAGGTAATTTTGCAATGAGGAACTACAATTTTTGTCTCAGTTTAATAACAACGTATGCACCGTCAATTTCCCTACGCATAGAAGTGTTTTTCAAGNTCGAGGGATTTATCTCAAAATCGGTTTTTTATTTATTTTTGGCAAGGGATTTATTTTTTTTTTTAACTTTTTGATGATTATTAGTCTTAGTGGACCTTGGGAATTCATCAAAGGTTTTTGCCTATCTTATACTTGATTAAAAGGAAGTGACACGTCAATTTCCTCGACCGGATTTTTTGCCCGAAAAATGTTTTTGAGGGTTTTTGTAGTTTATACAAATGAGCCAAAAATTGTAGTTAGTACAAGATGACGAGTAACTTTAAAAGTCAGGCCGCCATTTTATGACCAGAGATGAAATGATGGCTAATTAGCCGGCACCTCGTCGATTGCTGAAAATTGTGTGTTGTGGCCCACTTTTCAGGGCACCACGCAACAATGGCGACCTCCATTTTCAGCTACCATTTTCAATGTGTGGAGTGGGCTTATAACAAATCCATCTAGCTTCGAGTGCTGAGTCATGGTCTCATGGGGCATCGACAACCGGTGCCGGTCGGTCGGATGGTCGGCGAGCGAGCAATTTGCGGCGTCTTGAACTTGCGCCTGCTTGATGGACGGCGTCGTGGAAGAGTCGGTCGGGGAGTGGCTGGAAGCTACTAATCGGCCGTCGTCTCCGGTGGGAACGGACCTTGCCCGCGAACCGCGACCTCCTTCCGCGGAAATCGCCCCATCATCGCCATCGCCAGCCCGACCCAATCCGCACCGCAGAGCAAAGACCCCGACACTGCCATGCTAAGGAAAAACGCCGTATGAGCCTTCAGGCGTTGCCAAATTTCCTCTGGCAAATCACTAATTTTCAGGGAGATTTATGAATATTTTTCTGCCAATTTCTCAGATAATTTTGTTTGTAATTTAACCTAAAGTTCCTGAAAATTTTAAGGAAAAATTTTCATAATTTTCCTCAAAAACAAACATTTTATCTAAGGAAATTTGGCACCTCTCGAATGTTCATACGGCGTTCTTCTTTAGCGCGGCAGAACACGTTACGTTGTTACGTAAGCGCTTGACCCTTCGGAGAGACTCGGAAGTCCCGGAGGTTGAGCGGCAACCCGGGGAGAGGTTGAAAGGAGGAGTATCGATGAGGGCTGTTTTTGGGCCAATTGAATTTTGTAACAGGAACAGCGGGCCGATTATTGAAATTTATAGACGAAGCTATGTACAAATAAGACATAAGGAGTATACGGCGATCCTATTGGTTGAAATGGGTGGTTCTTATAGACTAAGGGGGTAAATTATGGACTAACAATCGGGTCTCTCGTGGGTTGCCGTTAGTTAGTCTATTACTTACGTCCTTTGTCCATCGCAACCACCCGCTTTTACCAATAGGATGCCTCCATATCCTTTTTTTCTTCTTTGTCTATTGCTTTGTCTATCAATTTCAATAATCAGCCCGCAGCGGGCTGATTGTTGAAATTTATGGACAAAGCGATAGACATAGAAGACAAAAAGGTTATAGAGAGATCCTATTGGTGGAATCGGGTGGTTGCAATGGACAAAGGACGTAAGTAATAGACTAACTAACGCCAACCCACGAGAGACCCGATAGTTTGTCCATCATTTACCCCCTTAGTCTATAAGAACCACCCATTTCAACCAATAGGATCGCTCCATACTCCTTATGTCGTATTTGTGTATCGCTTTGTCTATCAATTTGAGAAATAAACTTGCAGGAAAGTCCTAAAAGCCGCACCGATAGAGTTTTATCGATAAGCCCTTCGTAGAATGAAGTGCGACATAGCTTCGAGTGGGCTTTCCATGTCGAGTTTTATTGTTCCATGACCATAATTTTCCATCCATAGGTGCACCCGTGAGTTTTCATACTTGCATAATATGCTGTAATCTAGTTTCCGGCTCGGTCGGATACGTTCGGTTTCCAAGGTCGCGACGATTTTCGCGAAATCGATTAGCATCACCGATCGGAGTTCTTTCTGACGCAAGGCGCGGCGCCTCTTTCCGCAGACGATCGCACGAACAGGGAAACGATGCAGATCAAGTACATCATTATGCTTGATCTTCGTAGTTTAATGACCCATGAAAATCTTAATCCGGTGGCGTGGCGTGCTTTGCGATACGCCGATTGATCCGACACTTAAACCTAAGGAAAAGGATCGATGAAGAGGGTGTTCACTACGAACAGTTTAAGGGTCGATTCTTTGCCATAGCTGCAATTGGGTAAATTTCGATAATGGGGATGTTGCATGTGTGAGGGATTTGCGATTTGGTGGCAGCCCTGTCAATGTATTTGCTCCCTATCTTTGCATGGATAGTTTGTTTTGATGTAGAGGTGGACTCTCGGGGTAGGGTGGGATATCCCCTCCATTTTGGCCTCAACTTGAGAGTTTTTTTTGAGCTTGAGAGTTGATTTCAGAGAAAACCAGTGGCACCATCGTGTTTCTCGCGAACTTTTACACAGGAATCAACAGTCAAATCGCAAATTCCTCACACATGCAACATCTCCATTTACTGATCAAAATGTAATTTTACGATCTCCATCGGCGAATAATAGATTTGCCTTCTCTCAACCTGTTCCTTTTGGGCTCGGAGGAGTTTTCTGTCAAATCTCAAACTGCGATTTTTCGGCCGAGGTCCTTATCCCCGGTACAATCCATTATTTGTATACTACATTCTACCTCAGAAAATTACTATTTTTTGGCTCATTCATAACACAGACCTACCTGTATGGGGAAACTAATTGCGCATGCGTTTTTCCTGGAGCGAGTCAGAAGTGATAGTTCATAGTTCCAAAATCTACTTCATTAAACGATATACTTGAGATTCTTGGTTTCAAAAAAAACTTTTTTTCCTCCCTCGATTCCTAATCTTAACGTTCCTCAAAGTGTGCGTAGCTTTTGAAAGTGAGAGGTATCCACTACAGTAATTTTACAGTTTATCGTATTTACCTTATTTGGTTCTCTTTAACCATACTGAATTCTGTCGATTTTTAACTTTACCAGTTTTCTCCCTCTATTATCCGATTTTCTGAGGAAAAATGTCAGCTGATCATGCACCAAACCAAATTTCCATATTTATTTGCGTTTTCTTGACAGGAGACATTAATCAGTTTTCTTTTTGCTCGCCAAATCTCTCCATTCTGGTTCTAGAGCTGGCATTTTGAATTATTGCAGTGAAATTCTCTCTTATCTCCTGCCAACACTTATGCAGAATCATACTTTGAGCAAATCG